AATTGTGACTCTCTAGACTGAACTGACTCTGACTGACTGACTGACTCGCTCTGACTGACTGACTGACTTCTGACGGACCTCACTCCAGACTTCAGACTGAACGGTATTTAGTCACCCCCCCCCCACGAGGGCATCATGTGGCACAAGGCCGGTTTAACGTGGGATCTCCGAGCCCGTGGGCTCGGCCAAAAAATATGCCCTTTGAACCCGTATAAACGGGTTCAGGGTCGGTTTACCTCCCGAAAGAGACTCCGCCCTTCGGCGTAGCCTCGTTCGGGTTCCCCCCGCCCGAAGGCAGAGAGTTCAACCGATCAGCCGGTCAGCCGGTCGCCCGACTTCAGACTGAACGGTATGCTTCCTCTTGAGGCGCAGTATTTATTACGTATGGAATAGTCGGTTTATGTGGGATTATGGGTAAGGTCCCATAACAATGCCCTTCATTTGTATAAACGGGTTCAGGGTATAAATTATATTTAACCCCGAAAGAGAATCCGTAGTTCGGCGTAGCCTCGTTCAGGTTCAAAAGGAATTAAAGGCAGAGAGTTCAAACGATCAGCCAGTCAGCCGGTCTAATGGTCTTCGAACTGAAACCTAGATTTCTTGAGGCGCAGTATTTATTACGTATGGAATAGTCCATTATGTTATTATCAAAAAGAATTAAACGATAAAGTTATAAAAAAAGAAATTTCTAACCGGGGTTGAAATGGAGGTTCTTCTGTTTTTGAAGAAAATTTATACTTTAATATAGATGATAAATAAACATTTCATCTAATATCTCCCAATCAAAAATATAGTTAGATTTTTTATTATTTATGCGGTTTTTTATTTTTAGTATTGCATGTAGAAAATGTGTTGGGGAAGGATGAATTAATTTTTGAGAGACGGAACAAATTTGAAAAGAAAAAACAAATTTTAAATTTTCCGCATTTTATAAAACGTTAAAATCTAGTACATTTTTTTTATGGCAAGATACGAAAAGACCATTGTACATATTAAAAGTATATATTCCCATATATATAAAAATATATGTTACTATTGTAAGAGTTCGGATGTAATTTTTTAAATTTGTCACTGCAATTATTTTATTGTTGATTTGAAATTAAATTATAGCATTTTAATATTTTAATATAAAAATATCATCGTGGTATCTTATTAGATGGAGAAAAGCTATTCTATTCAAAGATGTTATTTTTTAAACAAAGACATATGGAAATTTTAATATAAAAATAACTTAAAAGAGAAAATTACTTGGAAAAAAAAATTTTTTAAAACTTTTTATCAACACGAAAATTTTCAAATAATGACTTCAAAAAGTATTATATATATATGAAACGATCTTATTAAGAATAAGTAGACATAACAATATCTAAAAAATTCATTTTAACATTTTAAGAAAAATATATATATATATATATATATTATATATATAAAATGGATGACTCAATGTGTGTGTGTGTGTGTGTTGTATTATAAAAGAGTCCTGTATATAAATAAATATATATATGTATAATTTTTTATTTATTACCAAGAAAATGTCTTATTAGACATGGCGCTCAAAAAAAAAGATAGCGGTCGATAACACATATCATTTTTGGATAGATGTGAGTTTGTGGGTTTGTTTCTAACGATCAATTGAACCACGAAGAAGGTCATTAAAAACTTCACATTTATCCAAGCCTATATAAATTATATATATATATATATATATATATATATATATATATATATATATATATATATGAGAGAGAGAAAGAGTTAGAATGATTTATTCTATGGAATTTATTTATTTCGAAAATCCATTTAAAAATAGTTTTTTTCATTTTTTTGTTAATATTTTTAATAAAATTGAAATTTTAAAGAAAATCCATGAAAAAAAATAACTGGACACCCAAACATTTTAAAACAGAAAATTAAAAACAGACTGTTGATTGTTTTTTTTTTTGTAAAACAAAATTTTTTTTTAAACTTAGATTTCAATATATGTCGACCGAAAGTTGTAAAATGTTCTAATAAAACATTTATGACGAAAATGATTGAAAAAGAAAAGAAGAAAACTAAAATAAAATATTTTATATTTGAAAAAAAGTAAAAACTTGAAAAATGCCTGATGATGATGGAAGCGTTTTGAAAAAATAGCAAATTTTTTCTGAAATTTTGTAACACAGGAAATTTTTGCCAAAAATAGCAATTATATTAAATTTATCTTTAATAGAACAACATTTTTATTTTTGAAAAAATATCAAAATTTTCTAAGACTGAATAGCTCAGATGTAGTTAAAGATTGTTAATTGTTTCTTATGAGTTCAATTTTTTTTGTAATTTTTTTCAAAATGTTTTTAAATATATTTTATATATATATATATATATATATATATGGATATATAGATTAAGACTTTTAGATATCATTAAAAACATGTCAATTACTTCTTCCTTAATGATAATATTATTTTTAAATAAAAAGTTCAAAATTCGCTTTAAAAATTTTTTGCCTCGTATTTTTTACATTTCACTGAAATTTAAAAGCAAAAAATTTTATAAAAATCTGTTGTTTTATTGTTGCAAGAAGACGCTTTGACATTTTTATACACGTTTTACGGACATTCACCAAAAAATCAACACTTTTGTTCATTTTCACAACTTCATTAATGTATAAAAGATATTGAAAAAAGATGTTTTTTTAAATTATATTTGTATATTTATATATATATATATATATATATATATATATATATGTTTTTAAAAATTTTTGGACAAAAAAACATAATTTAAAATATATTAATGTTATTTAGTCGCAGAAAATTTTTATATTAAAAATAAGTAAACAATTAAATTTTTACAATCTATAAAAGAAGAAAAAAAATATAAATTTTCTTTAATATATATATATATATATAAAAAAAAAAAAAGCAAAATTTACATTCTACAATGATAAATTTAAAATAAAAAAGAAAATACTATTTAAAGTTTTGTTCAATTTTTCAGAAGAACTGATTTAGAAAAAATTAAAAAGGTTGAAAAATTTGTTTCGCTTTTCAGTGAAATGAAATGAAAAATGAATAAATCGAAAATTCCCACCAGTTTCAGGCATAAAAAGACATTTCGTTTTGATATTTGATTAAATAAACTTTGTATGAAAATAAAAATAAAATTTAATAAAAATTTTCGAAGAATTTTGGGATATTTTTAAATAGAATATATATGGAGGGAATTCGATTGCGGATCATTTTTTAAAGTTTCAAATTGAATTCAAAGGATTTCTTACCACCCAAACTTTTTTCCGATATTTGGCCAGAGCATTTTCATTATTCCATATATATATATATATATATAAACATATATTATGATGAAAATATACATATAATTTAAATGTTTTATAAACTATTTTAAAAAAGTATATATTTTTGATAAAAAATTATATTATAATATAATTTATTGCATATTTTTTTATATATAATTTAATGAAATTTTTTATTTTTTTTTCATATTCATATATAACATCCATGACATAATTTTTAGTTTTTTAAATTCATATATTTGTAATATAAAATAAAATAGTTCTGGAAAAAAACAGTTATAATGAAAAATGACTTGTTTGTTTGTTTTTTTTGGAAATTTTAAATTTAAATGGCCTATTTTTTAATTTGCTTTATTTATCCTCAAAAATTTTTTTAAATTTTTAAAAAATATATATATATATATATATAAATATATATATATATATAAATATATAAGATAGCTGTTTTTGATACAATATAAAATGAAAAAGAATTTAAAACGAAAAAAACTTCTGAAAAATGTAAAAAAAGAAACATTCCATTAGATAATAAAATTTTTCAATAAAATGTGTTGATATTTTTTATCATTTTAATTTATTTTTTTATTTTTTCAAATATATTATATATATATAAATATATATATATATATATAATCGTTATTTTATATATAAATATTTTTTAACATTTTCACACAAAAACACACACACAATTTTCAAAAAAATAAAATCCTTATATATATATATATATATATATATATATATTTAATATTTATTATCTTATTAGTTTACATTTTCATCTTCAAATTGAATTAATTTAAATCCTTTACGGATGCAGCATTGAATTTAATTTTAATTTTAATTTAAGCCAGTTTGACTAATAAATAAATATAAATGAAAAACATATTTTGTTTATTTTTGCATATTTTTCATTATATGGCCACCAAAAAGGTAAAAAATTTAATATCTAAAAAATATATTTTTAAATTGTTTTAATAAATAAATGTTTTATAAAAACGAATGAATCATAAAAATTATGTAAAATCATCTAAATATCGATATATCAAATACATTTATACTTAAATATTACACAGGCCATATAATTATATATATATATATATATATATATATTTTTGAACATATTTTTTGTAGATTGACATTTATGAACAGTAGAAATAGTTTTTTGAAAACCATTTTTGGAAGATAAGCAGTTTAAAGTTGATTTCTTTTAAAAAAACATTTTAAAAAAATCAGATACAAGGGTTTTTTTTTTAAATAGAGCTTGTGAAATAAAATTAAAATAAACAAACAAAATAAACAAAATAAGATAATACTGGTCGAGATGGACTGTTATTTACTTATAAATTGATAAATGATTTGAAATGGTACTACCTTTTTTTAAAAAAATTAACTATATTTAAGGTAAAAAATATATTTGTTTGATATTTTTTAATATTGAAAAATATTTTTCTTTAATTGTTTTTTCAACATTTTTTTTATCAGTTAAGATTCATTTAAAGATTTATATAAATATATATTTTTTAACATTTTCTATTTTCTCAGTTTTTTTTTTGTTAACTTTTTAAATATTTTTCAAATATATTTAATTGATTATAAAATAAATATAATTTTTTATATTTGATAAGTATTATAATATATAAATGATAACTTTTAAAATGTCCAATATTAAATATTTTTATATATTATTCTATTGTAATAAATCCCACAGATAATAATTAGTAGTAGCATTTAATTTTTTTCAATCCAAAAAAAATAAAATTTAACATTGAAAAAAAAAATCACAAATAATTTTAATCTGAAAATTAATTTCCATTTTAAGTTCATAACGTTTTGTCATCGAACCTAATTTAGGACGACTTATTGAATACATATTATTATTGAAAATATTATAAAACAATAATAACAATGAAATATCTACATTTATTGGACAATTTTTGAATGCATAAATTTATATAGAAATAAAGTGAAATTTAATTCATCTATTTAATCTTATATTCATATATATATATATATATATATATATATATATATATATATATATATATATATATATATATATTTATATATTTATATATATATATATATATATGCATGTTTCATTAAAAACGACAGACAAGGTACTACGGTTGAGCTTTTTATTTAATTTTTCTTGTGTTCTGACAAGAGCTTTTTTTTCTGGACAAAGGTGTGTAAGAACTGTCCGAATGTTTTGTATTTCCGAGCGCTTTCGGCTATACCTTTTTAGCCATTATCAAGGATGATTCGATTATCAGCTTAGTAGAGTGTGTGTGTTCTGTGTATGTTCAGTGTGTGGTAGTGATGTTTTTAGTTTCCGAATACGGTTAGCACATTGTGGCTTTGTTCATAGTTAATATTGTTAAGGGTTGGCTTTTTCTTTTTTTATTATTAGAGCTTCCATTATTTTTAGTCTTTTTTTGAAAGTGGATGCAGTTAATATATTTGTGTTTTCTACTAGTATGTTCCTAATAGTGTCGGGTAAATCTGAGTGTGTGTTTAAATGTGTTCTGATGGAACTGTGATCAGATAGGTGTAATGTAAGACGTCTGGATAAACATGAGTTCAAATGCCCTTTAAGGAACTGCGTTCCTCACCAAACCGGACTCATAAATAATTACATCGGCTACACAACCACATGTTTATCCAGATGTCTTACATTACACCTATCTGATCACACATTTTACTAAAAATGATAAATGAATCATCCTTGATAATGGCTAAAGGTATTTATGAAAAATGGAAACACAGAACATTCGGACAGTTCTTACACACTCTTTGTCCAGAAAAGAAAGCTCTTGTCAGAACACAAGAAAAATTAAATAAAAAGCTCAACCGTAGTACCTTGTCTGTCGTTGTTAATGAAACATGCATATATATATATATATATATATATATATATATATATAATTTTGTTATGGTATAAAATTTAAACGATAACTATAAAAAAGCAAAAAGGTTATGCCATTTTAAAAAATGTTAAAAAAAAGAACAACCGGGTTTCGTACCGGGATTTATCAAGTTTATTTTCTAGGATATAAAAATATATATAAGCGTGTAAATTAAATTAATATAACGAATGAAAGGAAAAAAAAAAGGAAAAATATTCTTTTTCAAGAAAACTAGAGTCCAATAACATTCAGACTCATTAAGCATTCCCTCTGTTTACAAAGGGAAGGCCCACGGGATCTGATATTCAAGGACTCTAGAACATTAAGATGATTTATGGAATATTTACTTAGATAAAATCGAAAAACGGTCTATAAAATCAACCACACAATTATATGCTATTTTTTTACGCTCAGCAATAGTATATATATATATATATATATATATATATATATATATATATATATATATATATATATATATATATTCTTCTATAATATTTTTTAATTTTTCTTATAGCTTTTATTTTTTACTTACTATATCTTGTCCTCTTTTATATATTTTATAGGTATATCTTTTTTTTTTTTTTGAAAAGAATATATCTTATATCATTTTAACAAATATATATATATATATATATATATATATATATATATATATATTTTTATTATAAATTAATTGATTTAAAATATGTTTTTTTTTTTTACACAGTTCTAACCATGTTTCAAAAAATGGAAGCTAAAAGCCCCGAATTTAATTTTGTAATTAAATTAAAGATATTAGTTCCATTTCATCCTCAAGCGAATTTTGGAGTAACTTTTAAAATTACTGAGTTTTAAAGACACAATAAAAAATCATAATTCATGTTTCAAGGTTACAGATGAATCCAATTTACTAGACGAGGGTTGTCTCGGTGTCTATATTTTAATAAATCAGTTATTGCTATTGTTTTGGTAGTGGGTAGGGATGTATTTTTCAATGAAATCTAACATCCGTTAAATGCATGTCGTCTGGATTTTTTTTTAAATTTTATTGTTAATATGAAAAAAAATTCTTACGGCATTTTTTCCTTTATATTTAATGAATTTGGGGGTGTTTAGGTAAAAATTAAATAAAAAAAAAATATTTCAAATCATAGCTTATTTGAAATATTTTTACTTTTAATTTTAATATATATATATATATATATATATATATATATATATATATATATATATATATATATATATATATTTGGATATTATCAAATATGTTAGCTCTATCTGATATTGAGCGCTTTCTAATAAGTAAAATGTATATAATATATAAATAATTATACATATATATATTTATTTATATTTATATACACTTTTCACACACACACATATATATATATATATATATATATATATATATATATATATATTTATATATAGAAGAAATGTTTTATAAGTATTATAAATTGTTATATCCATCATTTTACTACTGCCTGATGAGATGCTATGTTACATCGAAACATTAATGCATTTTTGTAGGAGAAATATGTATGTCTGAATGTACTAAAATTTATATTAAAGAAATATATATATATATATATATATATATATATCTTCAGTATATTTTGGAATTTTTCATTTTAGACATAACCTTTGCGTTTTTCAATTTACGCGCAAAAAATTAATATTTAGGTAAACACAAAAATGTCGTCTTAGAAAAATTATGAAAACAACCATTTTTTTTCTTAGAAAAAACAAGACCCTGATGACAACATTTTGCTCATGTTGACAGTACTCGGAATAAATTGAATATGCATCAACATGTTAATTTTCTTTCTTTCAAAAATAGGATTTACTTAGAAACTTTTCGCAATTAAAAGAGTTTTCCTATTAAAATAAGTAGACCAAAACCTATCTAAATTATTGAATGAGACTTGTCAAAATATATATATATATATATATATATATATATATATATATATATATATATATATATATATATATTAAGATATGTCTCATTTTTTTAAAAAAGATTTAACAAAAATTTCTCCCATTTCAATATATCACTTCCGTTAAGCTAAACATTTAAATAGGTCAAGTTCTGGTCAGAATCCTCCCCAATACTAAGTATGATTGAGAGAGATATTCAATTAAACCCTCCCTAAATTCTACCATGTCTCTCTAACTAACATTCTTATGTTTTTTTTTCATCTGTTAAATTACAGAAACTTACACTATCCATCAATTTTCATTTCATTTTTCGTTTCATTTTTGGAAGTGCTATCTGATGATCCCGAGTCCTTTAGAAGGGCTCTGGTGAAATAGATTATTATAATGGAACCTTAATTATATTTATATATATATATATATATATATATATATATATATATATATATATATATATATATATATATATCAGTACCAGTATGTGTCTTTTTACGTACACAATAATTTGCAACACACCTATATAAATGTATGAATTTATCTATGACATTATGACTGTGTATAGGAATATTGGTTTTGTTTTTGTTGTTTTGTTTTTTTTGTGTGTGTGTGTGTCTGTGTGTGTGTGTTTGGATCTCGCCCGTGTATATGTGCGTAGAAATAAATGCTTGTATCTGACTCTGTGTCCTTCTTTTCCCACCAATCAGCTACTGCCACGTCAGGCATTTTTTTTTCATCCAATGACTTGTGGCGTTGCTACTAGATGTTCGGGCTTTTATCCACGTTAACATTTGTTTTGTGTTCCTCTCATAGTTTTCGGGCATAGATTGTTCGATAAAATCAAGAAGATTGAAAAGGTGGCAAGAACAGGTCAATTCGATTACTTCTGTCTGCGCTAGCGACAACGAATTCTCCAATCCTATTGATATTCATTGAATAGCAACCGAGAAATTAGCAACGGCTAAGTGTTTGGGTAGTATATAATATATTTTTTTCTTTTACTTTTTTAAAAACTATCTATCTCTCTCTCTATCTATTGATATTTCTCTGGCAATGTCTCTTTTTCTGTCTATCTGTTTATATATCTCAGTCTGTTCAGATCTACCTATCAATCTATCTAAAATGTATCTAAGCAGAAAAATATTGATATCTATCTCAGTCAATTGAATTATTATCTATCTATTATCTATCTATCTATCTATCTATCTAATATTGATATTTGACAATAAAAATTTTTGCTATCTATCTAAAATAAATATCTTTCTGTTCAGATCTATCTATCTATCTATCTATCGACCTATCGTCTCTTCAGATCTATAAGAAAAATCTCTGTCTCTTTCTCTCTTTTAAAAATTATCTATCTAATCTATCTATCTATATATCTATCTATCTAATATCTCATTCTTAATATCTATCTATCTACTCATATCATCTTTCTCTTTCTCTTTTTTAAAGCTATATATCTATCTATCTATCTAATAAGTGTCTTTTTATCTATCTATCTATCTACTCATATCTCTGTATCTTTTCTCTTTTTTAAAGCCTATCTATCTATCTATTATCTATATAATAATAATATCTATCTATCTATCTATCTATTTTCATATATCTCTATATCTTGTCTTTTTATCTATTATCTATCTATCTATCTATCTATCTATCTCAGTGTCTTAAATATATATATATATCTATATCTCATATCTTTCAAATTTTTTAAAGCCATCTATCTATCTATCTATCTATCTATCTATCTAAATCTATCTATTTATAAAAAAATCTTAAATATCTATCTATCTATCTAATCATATCTCTGTCTCTCTTTTCTCTTTTTAAAGCTTTAATCTATCTATATTATTATCTATCATATCTATCTATCTATCTATCTCAGTGTCTAAATATAAATCTTTCTATCTATCATATCTATCTATCTATCTATCTATCTAATCATATCTCTGTCTCTCATTTTTCTTTTTAAATCTATCTATCTATCTGAATATCTATTTAGAGCCATATTTAATATCTATATATCTCAGTGTCTTAATATATATATCTATCTATCTTATATATATCCATCTATCTATCTACTCATATCTCTGTGAATTTCTCTCTTTTTAAATATCTCTTTTTAAAAAAAATATATATATATCTAAATTCAGCGTCTTCACATTATCTACTCATATCTCTTTGTCTCTGCCAATTTCTCTCATTCTATCTTTAAAATATCTCAGTGTTTAAATCTATCTATCTATAGATTTATCTATCTAATAAATATCTATATTATCAAAGATATATCTCTTTGTCTCTGTCGCTAAATCTCTAAATCTATCTATCTCAGTGTCTTCATATCTATCTGTTGTGGTAGGATCCACCTAATTTGCATAGTGGAGTACCGACCATATAAATAAGGTTGGTACGGGGAAGAGAGGGAGGAATCAAGAGATTCAACCAGAGACTCTGCCTGACTGCGACTCAGTCAACACATTCTCCAGGAACGGTCTTACCAGGAATATACAAAAGACTATATGTAAATATTGTGTACACTTTCTTATTTCAATACATTTTGTTCTAAGTACATTTTGTGTTGCATTATTATTCCATGCATTAGTCAAGTTTCAACACAATCTATCGTCTATCAAACTGCGCTGGTTTTTTTTTTGCAATTACCTACTTTCATTTCCATATATAAATATATCGATGCATTAAAATACAAACGGATAGAAATAAATGGGTGTTGGCAAAAGTGTTGAAAAAATTTTGCAAACAGTCCAGAAATAAGATCAAGACTCACTACAAATACAGAAAGCTAACAATGAAACATTAAAAAAACATAAGGAAAATTTATTCCTTTAAGATTTATTTCTTTTATTTGCCTGAAGAAGCTCACGAGACCAGAAACACGTGTAGTAGAATTACGAAGAATAAATATAATATATACACTAAAACAAATCTACATTAAAACAAAAAACGTTTGCGGTTTTTCTCTCATTTTGAAATATACATTATTCTCTCGTTGGAACAATTATAATCTTTTATATATATATATATATATATATATATATATATATATATATATATATACAAAAAGTGAAATATATGGAATATTAGTGTTTGAGGTTTTATATTATATCCTGGACATTGAGTTATACCCTGGATTCTATCCTCTTGGTAATTTATTTATATATATATATATATATATATATATATATATATATATTGACCACTAATATTATCAATATATGTAGATATACAAAGAACAAATATAGAATTTAATGATTTAAATGGCGAGAATACATGTTCGCAAACAATTTTAATAAAGTACACTAACATCGCCATTGAAATCATTAACTTCTATATTTGTTTTTTGTATGAATAATTCATGTAATTATGAACTGAACTGCACCTATAATTGAAAAATATATATATATATATATATATATTATAAATTAATTGATTTAAAATATTGTTTTTTTCGCTACACAGTTCCAACCATGTTTCAAAAATAGAAGGACTATTGAGCACTATTTTGTAAAAATAAAAATATCTATAAGAACACCGGATTTTATATCTTACTGTTTTTTTTTTTATTTATATATATATATATATATATATATATATATATATATATATATATATATATATATATATATGGTTTGGCAAAAGGATCTGACATATTTGTAAGTTTAATAAAAGCAGAATAGACTATAGAACAAAATGTGTTTTTATTTTCGAAATTTATACATAATACGATGTTTTGTTTCGTTTTAAAAATTAAATCAGTCAAGTGGGTGCCATTACTTTCCACACTCTGGAGAAGTAGTTCACGAAAGTTGTCCATAACTCGATGGGTCATTTCATGAGGAATGGCATCATTTTCTTGAAGAATGGCATCATTTAATTGTTAGGTAGATCAAGGGCGATGAATTTATACCTTTGAATCCAGGTATCTCCACAGAAAAAAATCGCATGGCTTCAAATCAGATGATCGGACAGGCCAATGCTCTTTGTGTTGCAGTTACTGATTCGTTACCCTTAATAAACCTTTCCATAATGTTGGCAACTGCTAAAGAAACGATACAAACTTTTACTCTAGGAATGCATTGCAAATGAGGAAGAAAGGGATTGTCAGTGGTCAGGAATGAATGCAAGCATTACTGATAGAATAGGGCTATTATATGTAGAATTATTATTTTGTAGCAGTGTTTTACTAGAGGAATGCATTGCAAATGAGGAAGAAAGGGATTGTCAGTGGTCAGGAATGAATTCAAGCATTACTGATAGAATAGGGCTATTATATGTAGAATTATTATTTTGTAGCAGTGTTTTACTAGAGGAATGCATTGCAAATGAGGAAGAAAGGGATTGTCAGTAGTCAGGAATGAATTCAAGCATTACTGATAGAATAGGGCTATTATATGTATAATTATTATTTTGTAGCAGTGTTTTACTATAGGAATGCATTGCAAATGAGGAAGAAAGGGATTGTCAGTGGTCAGGAATGAATGCAAGCATTACTGATAGAATAGGGCTATTATATGTAGAATTATTATTTTGTAGCAGTGTTTTACTATAGGAATGCATTGCAAATGAAGAAGAAAGGGATTGTCAGTGGTCAGGAATGAATGCAAGCATTACTGATAGAATAGGGCTATTATATGTAGAATTATTATTTTGTAGCAGTGTTTTACTATAGGAATGCATTGCAAATGAGGAAGAAAGGGATTGTCAGTGGTCAGGAATGAATGCAAGCATTACTGATAGAATAGGGCTATTATATGTAGAATTATTATTTTGTAGCAGTGTTTTACTAGAGGAATGCATTGCAAATGAGGAAGAAAAGGGATTGTCAGTGGTCAGGAATGAATTCAAGCATTACTGATAGAATAGGGCTATTATATGTAGAATTATTATTTTGTAGCAGTGTTTTACTATAGGAATGCATTGCAAATGAGGAAGAAAGGGATTGTCAGTGGTCAGGAATGAATTCAAGCATTACTGATAGAATAGGGCTATTATATGTAGAATTATTATTTTGTAGCAGTGTTTTACTATAGGAATGCATTGCAAATGAGGAAGAAAGGGATTGTCAGTGGTCAGGAATGAATTCAAGCATTACTGATAGAATAGGGCTATTATATGTAGAATTATTATTTTGTAGCAGTGTTTTACTATAGGAATGCATTGCAAATGAGGAAAAAAGGGATTGTCAGTGGTCAGGAATGAATTCAAGCATTACTGATAGAATAGGGCTATTATATGTAGAATTATTATTTTGTAGCAGTGTTTTACTATAGGAATGCATTGCAAATGAGGAAGAAAGGGATTGTCAGTGGTCAGGAATGAATTCAAGCATTACTGATAGAATAGGGCTATTATATGTAGAATTATTATTTTGTAGCAGTGTTTTACTATAGGAATGCATTGCAAATGAGGAAGAAAGGGATTGTCAGTGGTCAGGAATGAATTCAAGCATTACTGATAGAATAGGGCTATTATATGTAGAATTATTATTTTGTAGCAGTGTTTTACTATAGGAATGCATTGCAAATGAGGAAGAAAGGGATTGTCAGTGGTCAGGAATGAATGCAAGCATTACTGATAGAATAGGGCTATTATATGTAGAATTATTATTTTGTAGCAGTGTTTTACTATAGGAATGCATTGCAAATGAGGAAGAAAGGGATTGTCAGTGGTCAGGAATGAATTCAAGCATTACTGATAGAATAGGGCTATTATATGTAGAATTATTATTTTGTAGCAGTGTTTTACTATAGGAATGCATTGCAAATGAGGAAGAAAAGGGATTGTCAGTGGTCAGGAATGAATTCAAGCATTACTGATAGAATAGGGCTATTATATGTATAATTATTATTTTGTAGCAGTGTTTTACTATAGGAATGCATTGCAAATGAGGAAGAAAGGGATTGTCAGTGGTCAGGAATGAATGCAAGCATTACTGATAGAATAGGGCTATTATATGTAGAATTATTATTTTGTAGCAGTGTTTTACTATAGGAATGCATTGCAAATGAGGAAGAAAGGGATTGTCAGTGGTCAGGAATGAATGCAAGCATTACTGATAGAATAGGGCTATTATATGTAGAATTATTATTTTGTAGCAGTGTTTTACTATAGGAATGCATTGCAAATGAGGAAGAAAGGGATTGTCAGTGGTCAGGAATGAATTCAAAGCATTACTGATAGAATAGGGCTATTATATGTAGAATTATTATTTTGTAGCAGTGTTTTACTATAGGAATGCATTGCAAATGAGGAAGAAAGGGATTGTCAGTGGTCAGGAATGAATGCAAGCATTACTGATAGAATAGGGCTATTATATGTATAATTATTATTTTGTAGCAGTGTTTTACTATAGGAATGCATTGCAAATGAGGAAGAAAGGGATTGTCAGTGGTCAGGAATGAATGCAAGCATTACTGATAGAATAGGGCTATTATATGTAGAATTATTATTTTGTAGCAGTGTTTTACTATAGGAATGCATTGCAAATGAGGAAGAAAGGGATTGTCAGTGGTCAGGAATGAATGCAAGCATTACTGATAGAATAGGGCTATTATATGTAGAATTATTATTTTGTAGCAGTGTTTTACTATAGGAATGCATTGCAAATGAGGAAGAAAGGGATTGTCAGTGGTCAGGAATGAATGCAAGCATTACTGATAGAATAGGGCTATTATATGTATAATTATTATTTTGTAGCAGTGTTTTACTATAGGAATGCATTGCAAATGAGGAAGAAAAGGGATTGTCAGTGGTCAGGAATGAATGCAAGCATTACTGATAGAATAGGGCTATTATATGTAGAATTATTATTTTGTAGCAGTGTTTTACTATAGGAATGCATTGCAAATGAAGAAGAAAGGGATTGTCAGTGGTCAGGAATGAATGCAAGCATTACTGATAGAATAGGGCTATTATATGTAGAATTATTATTTTGTAGCAGTGTTTTACTATAGGAATGCATTGCAAATGAGGAAGAAAGGGATTGTCAGTGGTCAGGAATGAATTCAAGCATTACTGATAGAATAGGGCTATTATATGTAGAATTATTATTTTGTAGCAGTGTTTTTTACTATAGGAATGCATTGCAAATGAGGAAGAAAGGGATTGTCAGTGGTCAGGAATGAATGCAAGCATTACTGATAGAATAGGGCTATTATATGTATAATTATTATTTTGTAGCAGTGTTTTACTATAGGAATGCATTGCAAATGAGGAACAAAGGGATTGTCAGTGGTCAGGAATGAATGCAAGCATTACTGATAGAATAGGGCTATTATATGTAGAATTATTA